CATAGGAGGTAGCAGTAAAGAACAGAAGAAGCGGTTTGTGACAGTTCATCATAGATGATCATGTTTTCTATGTTGCATTTGTTGGATATATTTCGAGTCAATGTTTTCCAGTATCATACCTTATCCGGCCCCTATTCCCACAGCTTTCCATCATCAAGTTAAATTTTCAAGGTCTATTTCACTATATCAGTTGACAGAAAAACATTTGGCGTTTCTTGAACATGCAAAAAGTACAATATATCTAATATCCTTTGCCAGCTTATTCCATGTGGAGCCATACCTAAGAAGGTAGAAATTTCTTAGGCCGGTCCTAAATTTAGGTAAATGGCATATACATTTACCATGTCGCATGTCATAAATGGTATTATCCCAAAGTGCAATTAATAGGTTCCAACGTATGCTTTCCACCACGCCAGTTTGTAGAGGAAGCACAAATTTAATTTTACTCTTCGTAACCACAGTGGTTCAAGATTCAGCTGTTTGAACCTATCTCGGTATGAAAGGGCGGTTGAATAACCAAGTATGTGCTTCTTAAAGGCGCGTTGGATGTTTTCAATGACGCTCAAGTCACCCTTTCGTATGTTACTGAAGGTAACACAGCAATGTTCAAGCAACGGCCTGATACTGCTTTTGAATGCAAATAGCCTGGTTTTTTTCAAGCTTAGTAGGTGGCATATGAGCCCGACCCACTGCTTACCCGTTTTCATGATATGTTTTGTATGTTCGCTAAAGTTTAGCAGACAAGTATAGCTTAAACCTGTCACGAACAGGCTGGCTGATGGGAATGACTTCCTCATGAAGCCTGGACCCTTCTGCTATCTAACATACATACTCTAGAATAGTACACTTCGGTGTTGCAAACGTCATCTGCCACATATCAGCCCATCTCTAAACGGCTTTCAAGTCGCTTTGGCTATTGTTAAGTTCAGCGGCACACTGAGAACCTGGGAGCGCGTAAACCACCTTTAAATCATCAGCAAACAAATACGGCTGGCTAGCCGAACAACCTCCTCGTGGTGCCAGCTGGGTGGTTCGGGTTTCTCCCGTTCCAGCAAATGGTTCGGCGGCAGTGTACCAGGATGTGGTGGGATTTCGCTTGGCAAGCGTTCGCCCTATAAAAAGCTATAAGCATCCGTTTAACAACACTGTGACGTGGCGGATGTGATTCGCCACTAAATAAAGTCACTGCCTCTTCCCTGTGCCGCAGGATCATTCACACATCACGGACGCCATCTGATTCAAAGCGTTCCATTGATTCCCCCCCTTTGATGGCGAACACGACGAACAGAACCCCACACAGTCACATTTACCTACCCACACAACATGTCCCCTCACAAATACACAGTTAAACATAGTTTTACATCTCAACAAACACATACATTCCCATGCTATTTGTCAAAATGTACTATTATGTGCAAGTGCCGATCATACATGTCTGTAATGCCATGATCACGCCTTCGATGGTGTGCCTCGCAGTGACGAGAATAAACTATTTATTTAGTTATTTATAAAAGAAACGCAATAATTTATATGCAGTAGGAAGAGTAACGGACCTAAGACACTGCCCTGTACCACTGCACTGGCGACCAGACGAGGTGCAGAGATGTTACCATTGATATCCACCACTTGTGACCGTTCAACTGGGTGCGATTGGATCCAAGAGTTAAGTGGATTTGTAACACCGTACTTACTGAATTTATATAGCAGCTTCTTGTGTGGAACCTTGTCAAACGCATTTGGCAGGCCGAGGAAGATGACAAAGCACTGAAGGCCTGAGTCAGTTGCGTCAGTTATATGGTTAAGGAATGCAACTTGGCAGGTACTACATGAGCGGGACCTCAGAAAGCCATGCTGTGAAAGTGAGAGAAGTTTGTGCTATATTAGGAACGAAACCAAATGTAAACCAAACGTAAATCTCTTCGGACCTGTATCTAATCTATCCTCGGTTGAACAGTCTTATTTTCCTCACTGCTTCCTGACATCCGAGATGTTATCACTTGAGGCTTTTCATTCCAAACACTCTGTTCCCTTTATCTCCAGACCTTCCCTTGGCATGCTAACTGGCCTTTCATATAGCCGCTGTAGTCCCTTTTCTTATGACACTCACCTCTGCTATACACAAGTTAATTTGGTGGCCTAGCTTCATCTTGCTGGCCTATCCGGACTCGTCTGAACGGTCTCCTGCCTTCTGACCCACTCGGACTTCTGAGATCCCAATGACCTACGCTCTGCCGACGTAACGTACTGTATCCCTCAACTGAAATGCATTGTTGGCCCTGATTAATCCTTATTAATACGTCCCCTTTCTTCGTGTACGTGCCTATTCTGCCGATGCTTTCCTTTATTACTTAGACCTAAATTCTACGGTTTTTACTCTTTGAGCTGATTTTCTAATCTCGTCTCAATAGTCTCTTTGTTTCTGACTATTGTGACCTGAATGTCCAGGGATGGGCAGACTTATCAGTCTGCTTTTCCGTCTCAGTGGTCTCTTTGCTTTTGACTGCTGTGACCCGATTGATCAGCGATAGGCGGAATGGTCTCCTTTTTTCTGACCTCTCTCGGGCTTCTGCGATCTCACTGTTCTTGTCACTGCCGACGCAACGCTTTGTTACCCTCACCTCAAGAACGTTGCTGGTCGTGACTAATCGCAATCATCATGTCCTCTCTCATCCTTAACGTGTCCATTTCTGCCGATTCGATCCGACAAAATGCATAGCTTACTATTACGCCTTTCTCCTTATGAGTCGACTTTCTAGTCTGGTCTGAACGACCCACCTTCCGACTTCTGTGACCCTAATGATCAGGGGTCGGCAGACCAAATGGTCTGTTCATACCACGTCGGGAATATCGCTGACTTCTCCACTCATCAATGAAAACTTTTCCTTTTCTCATTTTGTGTGCATTCCTTTTTCCACCGGTCAGGCAACTCTCCGGATCTGGCACTACTCTAGCGGCGTCCGACCAGCCTCCTGCTTTCTGACTACTTCCTTACATTCCAAACATTAACGATCTAGGCTCTGTTGTCCTGGTGCTCTGTCCCCCTTATCCTGAGACCGTTCCTCGGCATGCAACCGCCTTTTCATATAGTCACTTGCTTCCCAAACTGCTTTCTGATGACACTCATTACTTATTCCCACCTTACTTTGGAGGCCTAGCTTCAGCTTGCTGACTTACCCGGGTTTGACTGTACGCTCTCCTGTCTTCTGACATCGCTCGGACTTCTGTGATCTATGATCTAGACTCTGCCGACGAAAGTCTGTTACCCTCACCGCAAGACCACCGCTGGTCATGATTGAACCTTATTATCATGTCCCCTTTTTTCCTTAACATGTCCATTTCTGTTGATGCTCTCTGTCAGCACTTAGACTTTACTAATACGACTTTCACCCTACGAGCTGACATTCTGGGCTCGTCTCAACGATCTCGTACCTTCCGACTTCCGTGACCCTAATGAACAGAAACCGTAAGCTCCAACTGTCTGCGCACAGCACCTGGAGCATATCGTTGGCTTTCTTTTTCTTTCTCTTCTCACCCATAGAGCCCTTTTTTACACTCTAGCCTGACTTATCTGGTTCTGGCTGTACGGCCTCCTGCCTTCTGACCTCTCTCGAACTTCTGAGTTCTAAATGATCTAGTCTCTGCAGGCGCAATGCTCTGTCTCCCCCGCCTCCAGAGCACTGCTGCTCATGATTTATCACTAGTATATCCGCTTTTATCTTAACACTTCTATCCTGTTGACGCTCTGTTAACTTTCTGACATTTATAATACGGCTTTCTCTCCATGAGCCGATATCCTCATCTCATCTCCATGGTCTCCTGCTTTCCGAATACTGAGCCCATACTTTTGAACCATCGACTGGTCCAAAGGTCTGTTCGCAACACCTCGAGATTTTTGTAGGCTCTTCCACTTCCCCTTAAGTGTCTCCTTCAAGATTACATTCTTTCATTTTCGCACTCTGTCTGCCTTCCTTTATCCATTGGACGGATAACACTTCGGGCCTGGCTCCACTCTAGCCTGGTCTGACCAGTCTCCTATTTTCTGACTGTTTCCAGAAATCAGAGACGCACGTGTTCTAGGCTGTGCAGTCACAACACACCCTGTCCCTCAGCCTGAGAGCTTCGTTTGATATGCTAACGGGCTTTTTATATAGCCTCTGTAGTCCCGCAAATTTACTTTCTCGCGACATTCACTACTGTTATCCCCACTTTAATCTGACTGCCTAGCTACATCTTGCTGACTTATCCAGTCTCATCTAAACGCTCTTTTGCTTTCTGACCCCTCCCCAAACACTCCTGCTTCATCTTCAATCTTTCATTCTTTACTGATCCGTGTTCCGCTCGATTCTCGTCGTATTTCGCCACTTATGATATACGTGTATATGCGATATTTAAATAGCAATTACATGCATAGTGGTACAATAGTTCAGGCATCGCCGCAATTGATTGACTGCATTCCAGATGCATTCCTTTCTTCTGTCTGTGTGGCTGTCTCTGTTCGTTTCCTTTTTCTCCCGAGTCTGTCACAGGTACGGCGACACGCACTCGATTAGCTCAGCTGGCATGCAACTGTTGTATCTACTTCTCCTTTGTGTATTGTATGTATGTATTTCCTTCATGTATTGCGGCACAATAGCGGAGGTGTTTTTCCCACCTCTAGCTGATGTGTATAATGATAATGATGCAACTTACACTTAGTTGTGTTGGATTTGGATTCGGGGACATTAGTGCACACAAGGTTTAAGGCAACACGGTTGCGCCTGGTGTCTGCTGGTTTTGGAGTCTTAGTTTCCAGTGCTTTCGTTGAATTTGTGAACAGCACTGATGGGGGTTATCTGTGCGGCTACATTTTAGTTTTCTTTAGTCCGACCATCAAGGTTATCGGTGCTATTTTCGGTGTTGGTTTGTGTTGAATACTGCCTCTTGAATACGTCAGGTTCTAACAATGTGATACCAAGACTCCTAGTCGGATGAACGTACGTAGACTCAGAATTAGTTCTCGCACGGCACAGTAACTGACAATCTCCAAGTCTGTGGGTTCTCGGAACTTAGCCGCGAAAGATTAATTCACGCGAGTCGAACAGGTTCCTAGACCGAACGTAAAGTTCTACGCACGATTTCCCAACCAAAGACTGAAGCAAGAACAAGACAGGCCTTTGCCACAGGCGCTTTTACTGGCCAAAGCGAAGGCGATTCTAGCGTTCTACAGCCTCATTTTTATATCACGAAACAGAGATGAAGGGGGGGGGTTTCCTTGGAAGGGTTTGCGTAACCAAACCCTGGAAACAAGAAACAAGGTTCTGTGTAAATGTGCAAAGTCCGTAAACTGAGCAGAAATGTTGGAAGTTTGGCGAGAGTTGTCCGGAAAAATGAATGTTGCTTGGATACAACAATGCGTGTTTGGTTGGAAACAAGACTGTTTCTGGGTGCAAAGGCTAAACAAAGTGCATGTTACACGAGTTGGAAGGCTGACTGAAACGTGTGCGTTTTGTCTGGTCTGAGTACATGTGCACTCGAGTGAATCGGGTTTTCAGCCTTCCGTAATTTAAGCCTTTAATAATTATAGGGACGTTGGGTCCCCATAACATCCCCCCTTTAAGTTTGAACATACCGTTTGAGTTTCGGGTCGATCTGTATTCTTTCGGTTGTTCGACGGATGCGTTGTGATCTGCGAGGAGGAATCGGCGGTGCGAGTTCCACACTTTCCGTCTGTTGCCCTGGAATTCCGAAAGTATCCAATAGTATGTGCAGGGGTGTTTTTGCGGTCGACTGAGATGGTTTTTTGAGTGTTCCATGTCGCGGTCGAAGTTGGTTTTGATGACGAACCCAGGTGTCGTCTCCTACAACGATATCATATAGCATACTACCACGATGACCCGTTACTGTAGCTTCGATCCAGTGTGGGTGACCAGCCCGGTAGTCACGGGCAAAGACCGGAGCTCCAACAGCGTAGCCTTTGCACTTGGTTTTGATTTTGGATTTCACCGGTGGCACTTTTGTTGGGATTAGTACGTCGTGTGTTGTGCGCAGTTTCCGACCCATCAATGCTTCGGCGGGTGATTTCCCTCCTGGAACTGCTGGATTAGGTGTGGTCCTGTAGACGAACAGGAAAGCCTGAATAATTGTTTCTGTAGTTCCCTCCCCTCGAGCCTTTAAGAGCGCTCGCTTGAAAGTGTCGACAAAACGTTCCGCTTGACCGTTAGACTGTGGATGATAGGGTGGTGATCTGAGGTGCTGCACGCAGTGAGAGCGACAAAAATCCTCAAATTGGGATGACGTGAACTGCGTTCCGTTGTCGGACACTAGAACATCAGGGAATCCATGTTGACTGAATATGCGTTGGAGACAAGTTATTGTTGCGGTGGTAGTCGGAGAATTAATTGGTACGACTTCAGGCCATTTAGAGTACGCATCAACCAGGACCAGATAGGAGGTACCATCAATTGGACCAGCATAATCGATATGTACTCGAGACCACGGTTTCTCTGTTGGTTGCCAGGGAACTGGTGGTTGGTGCTGTGGCATCTTGGCTGCTTGTTGACACCTGGAGCAACGGCGAACCAAATCTTCAATGTCGCTGTCTATCCCAGGCCAATAGACGAAACTGCGAGCAATTGCCTTCATTCTGCTGATACCAGGGTGTGCAGAATGGAACTGACGGAGCACGGCTTGTCGAAGGTGGACAGGAACTATGACTCGATCAGCGGTCATAAGGCAGGAGTCGACGACAGAGAGGGAGTCCCGACGCTGGAATAGGTGCTTGAGTTCTCCTGAGAAGGTAATGTTAGGCCAGCGTGTCTGAACGTAAGCGATAGCTTGGCGGAGAACCGGATCGTGTGCAGTTTCGCGACGTATGTCGGCGGCTGTAAGTGGAAGGCTGCGGATAGTGTCTGAAAGCTGATGACGAACATCTTCTTCGACGGCGACAGCGGCGATCACGATATCTTCATTTACCGTATGTTTGGGGATGAGGCGTGAGAGACCGTCAGCTTGACCAAAATCCTGAGTGCGGCAGAAACGGATTTCGAAATCGTAACCGAGAAGGATGACGGCCCATCGTTGAAGTCGACTGGCTGAATACGTTGGAATACCCTTCTTGGAGCCAAAGATGGACAACAACGGCTTGTGGTCGGTCAATAAGGTGAAATGTCGACCATACAGCATTTTGTGGAACTTTTTAACAGCAAAGACGATAGCCAAGGCTTCTTTCTCGATCTGACCGTAGTTCTTCTCTGCGGACGTCAACGTGCGGGAGGCATGCATGACCGCTTTCTCGGAACCATCGGGGAAGCGATGGGAGAGGACCGCTCCGATTCCGTAATTGGAGGCATCGGCGGCGACTAGAATGGGTAGGGCTGGATCGTAATGTGTCAGCAGCAGATCAGAACTGAGCATAGTTTTCAGGCGCGCGAAGGCCTTCTCGCATGCGGGGGACCAGTGCCAAGGAACATCCTTTTGCAACAGTTGATTCAGAGGGGCCCGTACATCGTGTAGTGATGGTAAGAAAGCACTGTAGTAAGTGATGAGACCAAGGAAGGAGCGCAGTTGATGAATATCGTTGGGAGGTGGCATCTGGTGAATGGCTTCGACGTTTCCGGGGTCGGGGTGACGGCCATTAGCATCGAAGACAAAGCCGAGGTACTTGATTGACCGTAGGAAGAATTGGCATTTATCGGCTCTCAGGCGGAAACCATATTCCTGGATCCGTTTAAAGACCGAGACCAGACGTTCTCGCAATTCTTCTGGGTTGCGACCAACAATAAGGAGATCATCCAGGTATGCGGCCGTTCCTGGAATGCCAGCGATCATTGTATCCATTGTCTGCTGGAATAGGGCTGGTGCGGTCTTGACGCCAAACGGCAATCTGGTGTACTGAAGGAGACCGCGGTGTGTGTTGATCGTCAAAAGCGGTTGCGACTCCGGAGCCACCTCGATTTGTAAGTATGCGTCTGCCAGGTCGATTTTGGCAAAACACGTCCCGCCATTGAGTATGGTAAAGAGGTCGTTTGGTGATGGTAATGGGTAGCAGTTCGGTTGTAGAGCGGCATTGAGGCCCGTAGAGAAGTCGGCACAGATGCGAAGGGATCCATTTGGTTTCTTGACAACAACGATTGGGGCTGCCCAAGCAGAGTAGGACACCGGTACCAGGACACCCATATCTTCCAATCGTTTAAGTTCGGCATCGACCAATGGTAAGGCTGCGTATGGGACCGGCCTTTTAGGACGGAATACCGGTTGAGCTCCGGGAGCAAGCTGTAACACGGCGCGGGTGCGTGAACAGCGGCCAAGACCATCTTGGAACACTGAGGCGAACTGTCGGATGAGGTCATCGGTTTCGTCAGTTGGTACGGCCAGAGATTGTACCGCGCTGCAGATGGTTCGGAGAGGTAGATCGGCCATGCCAAGCTGTTCGAGCCAATCGAGACCAAGTAGATTGAGGTTTGCCTTGGCGATGTAGCAGATCCCGTCGAATGTGACACCTCGAAAGTAGACGGTACAATGCAGCTGCCCAGTTAGCTGCACGTGGCCACCACAGGCGCTGGTGGCGGATTGAAGGGTTGGCTGGACTGGTGGACTACCAAGGGATCGCCAGAGTTTCTCGGAGATGATCGTGATGTCCGAAGCAGTGTCCAACTGCAATCGGACGGTCTGGCCATTAATCTGGACGTCGACGAACTTCCTGCGATCCGCATTGACTTGGAATGTGGCCAGCAAGCTCATGGAGCTGCCAACCGGGCCAGTGTTGGGTTTGCGTCTGGATCGTGACCTCTTCTTTTGACTGTGGGTGGGGGCCAGGCCAGGTTTGGTCCCCTTGGGTTGTGCGGGTCTGCGGGTGGGGGCCAGCCCAGGTTTGGCTCCCTTGTGCGACGTAGGATAGCAGTATCCATCACGGTGCCCCACCCTGCCACAACGTTGGCATCGATGCTGTCGGAAGTTGCAATCTCGGTGGAAATGGCCTGCACCACAGAATCGGCACGGATAGGGTGGGGACTTCGCTCGGTTGAGTTGGGAGAGCCGCTCAGAAGGTTGCGGCTTGGGGGCTGCGACCACCTGGACCAGACCAGGCGCGGAAGCGTTCTGGATCATCGCGGAATCGTGTTTCAGATTGATCAGCGATTGACACTCCTCGGCCAGGTTGTGGAGTGTGATCGTGCTGTCCTGCTGCAGCTTGGATAGGAGGCGCGTTCGGATGTCGGCATCATGGGCGGACCGGAGGCCAGAAATGAAAAGCAAGCACTTGAACTGGTCTTCTGTGAGCGAGCCAAGCTGGAACCGTTCGCATTCCCGATTGACGATGCCCGCGTATGTGACGAAATCATCGGCATCTCGTTTGGTCAGCTGCAGACATTGGTACCGGGCATTGAACAGCGAGGACTGTTCGCCAAAGATCTGCGACAACGTGCGGACCGTTTCACCAAAGGGAACATCGCGGGGCTTCTTTGGCAAGATGAAGTTTGTATAACGTTGGTGCTCGACCGTGCCCAGTTTGCGCAGAAGCAGCCGGACCTTCCACGCGTCAGCCTGGGAAGCCAGGTCAACGGTGAACAGATCCTCGTACCGCTTATACCAGGACTCGAAGGTAATTTGAGCGCCAGGGTCATACAGGAATTCGGAGATGCTGCTGCAGATATTGTCAACCGAAGGAGTGCTGCCCGTGGAACCTGATTGAAGGGAAGAACTGGAGAGTTTTTCCGTTAAGGCAGTCATTAAAGCAATCTGGTGCTCCAAAAGTAATTTAAACTCATTATATGCAACTGCCATGGGTTCAAATACTTCGTCGCCACTGTTGAATACTGCCTCTTGAATACGTCAGGTTCTAACAATGTGATACCAACTCTCCTAGACGGATGAACGAACGAGACTCAGAATTATTTCTCGCACGGCACGGTAACTGACAATCTCGAAGTCTGTGGGTTCTCGGAACTTAGCCGCGAAAGATTAATTCACGCGAGTCGAACAGGTTCCTAGACCGAACGCAAAGTTTCTACGCACGATTTCCCAACCCAAGACTGAAGCAAGAACAAGACAGGCCTTTGCCACAGGCGCTTTTACTGGCCAAAGCGAAGGCGATTCTAGCGTTGTACAGCCTCATTTTTATATCACGAAACGGTGATGAAGGGGGTTTTTCCTTGGAAGGGTTTGCGTAAGCAAACCCTGGAAACAAGAAACATGGTTTTATGTAAATGTGCAAAGTCCGTAAACTGAGCAGAAATGTTGGAAGTTTGGCGAGAGTTGTCCGGAAAAATGAATGTTGCTTGGATACAACAATGCGTGTTTGGTTGGAAACAAGACTGTTTCTGGGTGCAAAGGCTAAACAAAGTGCATGTTACACGAGTTGGAAGGCTGACTGAAACGTGTGCGTTTTGTCTGGTCTGAGTACATGTGCACTCGAGTGAATCGGGTTTTCAGCCTTCCGTAATTTAAGCCTTTAATAATTATAGGGACGTTGGGTCCCCATAACACCGTGATGCGAAGGCTTCTGTGTCTCAGCCATCCATTTAGCCGTGCTGGGTGATGTTTCATGTTGCAACTTCTGAGCCACTCACACCAGATTGGTCAATGGTTAGAGGTCAGACAAACTCAGTCTCCTAGTCTTTCACGTTACGGGTTGGGTTGAGGGTGGCTCCATATTCCTTCAAACGGACTCCTTGTAGCCCAACGCCAAACCCGCTGCCTTGCGGTCAGGTTTTTGAACCAAAGGCTTTGGTTGTGAACCCTAACCGTTCTCGTGTCTAGTCCTGGGCAAACTGACAGTATCCTGCCCATGCAATACGATGAATTTCTCTTCAAATAGTTTCCTGACACTGGCCACCACAGAAAATAATCAACGGTGCCCTATCTGCTACATCGATCAGGATGGATAGGGGTTTCCATGCCACTACTCAGGCCTTTCCATCTTTTTACTCCCCCTCTTACGCTTTTTCTATCTTACCGTCTCGTTCCAGCTTCACTTTTATCCCCCCTGTTTTCAACCCCCCAATTCTTAGCCCTCCTCCACCTTGCTTTGCTAGGCTTTTACCTTTTGGTTTCAACCCACATGTGAACGTGGAGCGTCACTCCTCTCCTGTCGACAAGCCCACGTCCAACCAACCGGTCCATTCCAGTTCATCGGCTTCTATTTGGAGCTCTCGATCATCCTTCAGATTGGCATGCCTCAATGTATGCACATTGCTACAAATCGGTCGACAGGTAGCACTTGCCCGAACATTGGAGACCCTCTCGATCGATATCTGCTGCTTATCGGAGACCCGCATACAAGACTCGAGCTCTATGCTCACTCTGCAATCCCCTTCAGGTGACGCAAACAGTATTTTCTCAGTGCGCCTATCCGGTGACGATGCAGCTTCGAGCACCAGCCAAGCCGGTGTTGCTATTGCTCTGAGTCCCCGGGCTGAAGCTGCTCTGCTTGATTGGATTCCAATCAGTAGCCGGTGTGTGCGATCCAATTGGCTGGCTCCGTTTAAAGCTTCTAAGTCGTGCAGGACTAATAGGTGTCTATTCATCATCGCTGCCTACGCGCCCACAAACTGTAGCGATGATTCGGTAAAGAACGACTTCTACCGCCAACTGACTCAGCTCCTTCGCCACAGAAGAAGCACGGACACTGTTGTGCTGGCGGGGGATATGAACGCGCAGGTTGCAAAGTTGTCCACTGATGAAATGCATCTGGGTGGTCAGCACGGTGTAGGCTCCCGTGAGAGCTGTGAATATTGATGGCGAATGTTGTGATTACATAGTTTCTGCTTTTTTTTCTTTGTCTTTGTTGAGGATTAAAGCTGGGTTTTAACGGCTCTCGAATTCGAGGTATTGAGCGTGATGAAGAATATCTCTCACGACGAATACCGAGGAGATGAATGCGTGGCATACATTTGTGGTGGTTATACCAAAGTTTCTTGGGAACAATATATCAGATAATTATGAGGAACAGCTTAACAACATATTATTGGGATTTTGCGATCTTGTGTGCAACATTAGCGTCAAGCTGCATTTCTTGAACAGTCATCTTGATCAATTCCCTGTAAACCATGGGTCAGTAAGTGAAGAACAAGGGGAATGTTTTAATCACCATACGATGACGATGAAGGAATGTTAACAGGGACGATGCAACAAACACATGGTGGCTGGCTCTTGTTGGGGCATCATAAGTGACGATTATCTTGAGATGTTTCGACGCAAATTCTTGCCCCATTAATGCCTGTTATGCATCTATCTTTGTGCTTACGACATGTCTAGTTAAAATGTTGGTTTGAGCATTTATGTTTGCACCCATTTGTATGTTAAAGATACATCGGGTCATAGATCAGCATTGTGAGCACTTTCGTCTTTTGCATACATCTCTATAGTCAACTTTCCAAAAAACATTTGTAGCTTACATTAAACAACCAGTCACTTTTGAATCCCGCATGCTCAAAATATATGAGAACGAATGCTAATTTCTTTGCGGCAAAAATTTTTGTTGCACTTGAGAACCGTTTGAGAGCATTTTTCACTTGGTCCATTTCAACCACTTTCAGAAAGCCTACTGGATCAATTTGCTGGTGGCACGCAAATGCGAAACGAACACTGTAGTCAGACAGAGGATACTTTACTCATTTACTTTTCTAGAACGTTTACAATTGTCCTGCATTCTCGTTTATCATTTACGCTACAATTATATGGTACATCTGAGCATGTACTTAAATGAATACCAGTCTTTTTGAAAGGTAGAAAGATGTCCCCTCCGAGTAGTTTCAAACCTATCATTCTGACGTTCCTTTCTCAATGAGGTTCAACAAGGATAGGTCCTACGTCCACTGTTCTCTCTATCTAAACGAGCTGCCCAAAGTTTTAGGTGTACTGCCCACCATGAATACCCACGAATGGTAGTTCTGGTACCCGGTGACCAGCTCCTCAGTATCTGCAATGGACCTGTGGTAGACTTTGGAACTGGTTTATTCTGCGCAAAATGCTAATTGGTTATGCCAAGTGTTCAGTACTATGCCTTGGGTCGATTGATCCCTCCATACATTTTCTACTTAGTGAAAATGAGCTGCCTCAGGTTTCCCAGCTGGTTGACCTGGACCTTGTCCTGTCACCCGATTTCAAATTCAGTGCGTACTGAAAGTTACCGGCGAAAAGTTCGATATACTGTGGATGATCCGCAAGCCATTCGGAATCATCACATCGAAAATGTTCACCACTTGTCTTAGCCCTCGTTAGGCCACATCTTTAAATATTGCGTCGAAGTTTGTCTACCATGCTTTGTTCGTGATATGATATCATTAAACGGGTTCTTAGGGTTGGCGCTTAAGTAGTTTAAGACTACGGCACCAGAGAAACTCCTTAAGCTCGTAATATTCTTACTGAATTATGGTCGATATTGTGACGGCTTGATCCTGCCCTATCGCATACTGACAGGGAAGAGCAACCCTGATTTGTCTTAGCCTTTCAAAGCAACTTTGTTACCGTCTCTCTGCGGTCATTCATTGAAGATGCCCAGACCTCAATCTGATGGGGCTTGAACTGTTTCGAAGGTGGTGTAGATTGATTGATTCCTGGATCGCGTCATTCGAGGGTCTAGTATCGTTACAATCAGTGGAGGAATTTTTACATTAACTCAATGTTTTTGCATTGCAGCTCTGAATATTCACTTTCTCTTCCTAATTCTTATGCTTATTCGTTTTCATACTTCTTTCTCTCTTTTTGTTGCTTCATATTCTTGTTTATACTTCATGTGACCGAAGCAACGGGGACTGCTACTGCAGGTCATGCGGGTATTTATTGGTTGGTCATGGTGTAATTCGCGTATATTGCTTTGACTCTCCTGGATTGCAAATATTACCGTTGATAAATATCTTGGTTCAACTAGACACTCACGAAGGAATATGCGCGGGAATTTCCTGCTGTTTCAGTCCCACTTGAATTTCAGCTTGCATTCGGAGCACGTGGTTAGGCAATTTTCTCTTGAGGGTTTCGAACGTCGGTTAGCTAGTCTGGGGTGGCAATACCAAACCTCGTTTTTCCCCAGGTCCTGTCATTATTTAGTTGTCTTCTGAGTTTGCCGTTCACTCACTTCACGTAACCGGCTCGGCAGGAACAACTGGGGCAGCATATGTGGGAAGTAACTGGTTAGCCAGTGTGTTGCATTTTTAGGTTTATCAAAATCTATACCTCTATCAACTCACAGTCCAACATTACACAAAAAGAACGTTCACAGTCATTCTGTTGTTCCGGTCCCATTTGAACTTGTGTCTTCATTTCCTACTGATTGTAGCAAGTCCGAGTACTACCTTGTAACGGTCCATAAGGTAAACTGTTCGTTGTCGTTTCCCCTTTCTGTTTCGTTCACAGCTATCACCCATACTTCTTTTCTCTTTAATCAGATCACGCTCGTTCCCCTCAGCGGATGTGACAACGGTATTTAGCTTGCCACGAGATGTTAACCAGGCGCACGTTACATTCGTTGTGGTCTCTTATCAACCTTCTACTGGTTGCTTTTTGTATTGCAGCCCCTCAGGTCTGTAATGACCTAAGCACAATTTGGACACGCAATCACTCGAAATCCTCGATCGGACACCTATTACGCTGATTCCCCAACTCCTTAATGAGGCTTCATCAAATTTTGACCGGTTCATGCAATGACGGTTGGAGCCATGCCTCTTATGGCACATTGGGTGAATTTAGCTTCATTGTATGTCCCTTTAATAGCTAATCATCTGCAGGCATACGCTAGTGGATGTGACGTGGTTATTTTAAATGAAAATTTCGTTCGAGTACAGCTTGTCCCTGGTTCAAGTTTGGGTAGTGTGATCGTTTCAGCGGTCAGCTGCAGCAAAAACGATGCTAAAGTAAAAATCTTGTCGTTGGATAACCTTTCAGATTGCCATCTCAAACAAGGGATCGATCTTTGTTTTATCTCCTATCGTAAGTCATAATCTCTGATTTTTTACGTTACTTTTTGATAATGCTGTGTGAATTCTGAACACAGTATTAGTTCTTGATTTTTGTCACTTCATTTCACTGTACTATAACCTGTTACTGTTAGGATGCTGTCCAGACGGTGTTTGTGCGCCAAACGCTCGACCGCACTCAATCCGCGGGAACTTTTTCACCTCGTGAGAGCGCAAAGTGCTTTGCGTTTAAACTCAATGGTACTGGTCTCGAAGTTCATTAAGATCTTAAGTTGATGGACAGACTGAAATTGAAGATGGCCGTTTTATGGGTCTTGAAAGTGGCCGAAAAGTCGATGATCAAGACCTTCTGCTGGTGGGATTTCACGTAATTAGTCAGCCGTCCATTTCCCCCTTGCTGGAAACCGTTCTAGCAGAGAGCATTCTCGGGTTGGCAATACCGTATTCCTCCATGCGTTAGCAATTTACGTATTTCAAGGAGCAACATGTGAGTTAGGTCTGTTCAATTTTCTTATCCATATGTATTTGCGTTCACT